GGGACTGCTTCTTGGTTTTATACCTAGGGTTTCTATCGATTCCCCCTATTAACGGAAAGGATATCCACCCTGATATTCTCTAATCAATCAGAGTCCCATCATGACTCTTATTATTTATATTCTCTTAATAAAAGACCCCGAAACTGATTGCAAACAATCAGGACTCCAAATATATTCATTCCTTTAAGGTTTCCGAGAATAAAGATTTCATTTGACTTGATTACCAAGTCAACTACTTTCTCAAAGATTTTCGGCACAATTCATTGTCCATTCACAAATGTTTTACAAGGTGTCCACATAATAGTTTCTTGGCTGTTGTCATCTCTTCACGGCAAATGATACAAGTTGCATCACTTCTGCATATTGATAATCAACAACTAAGACTCCAAATGCAGAATTTGATAATTACAACACTTGAAACTAATTAGACTTTAAACTTACGCATTAAGTTCTTCAGGCGTAGCATCTGGGAATCGATCATTCATGTTTGATGTGAGCTTTCGATAACGAATATAATCAGCAATGCGAATCTTAAAGTTCCTAAATGTTTCATAGAGCTCACGTATCAAGTGCAATGGCACACCATAGTACCTGGGATGGGACAATACTCCATGTCAATCAAGATAGAATAACCTCAGCTTATGCACGTCAACAAGCAAAATTCTCCCCATGCTTAAAATTTAAATTGGTAGGATTTTGGTCCAACTACTGTATCATTCTAACTTCATGCCCACAGCTTCTCTGCCACTACGGAGCCGTTGCATTCAACACAGATTGAGCCCAACATGTTCTCCAAATTGTGTCATATTTAGCGAAAAAAATGTGTGTGTAAGCAACTTATCTAAACCTAAAGATAAACAGAAATACTCACGTGAAAATCACGAGGAAGAAGCACAAATACAGAGACAAGTGAAGCAAGTCCCGAATAAGTTCCAAGTAGAACGTGTAGACAGGCTTCTTCTCCCATTGTCCCTCCATAAGCATGTCAGTAACATAGAAAACATATTTCACAAATGTTGACACTGTTGTTGTTGCTAGTATCATGTACCTGAGATACAAAATCATGGACACTGTTAAATGAGAAAGACGGAAGAATGCAGAAATTCATGACTTGTCCATATTATTGGTTTTCATAACTAATGTTTTCTGTATAATCCCATCACAACTATTAGTTCTCCCCTATTGCCTTTCGTACTCGACATAAATCATTCAATGCACCTTCATATCATTCGCCCTATCAACCACTTTCCATGACAACATAATAGACTTGCTCCGCTCGTTTCCAATATAATGAAGCTTAATGCAATATTAACCATCGGATTTATCGGAACTTCTTTTGCCACGGTCTGGCACATGAGGTACCATAAAGTAGTGAAGCAAACCTACAACAAGGATCAAGATACTTTCAGACATTACTATCTCATACTTTTATCCTTGGGGCTGGCTCTTCTGATTCCGCGCGCTTTTACTGTAATTGAGGTACATTGCATTTATCTTGCCCTTTCTTTTGCCTTAAGGTACCAGTTTTGTACGATGATGCTTCTTTTTACACCCGTCTGATTAGAGCTTGATCTATTGTAATAGGTTCTGTGGGCATTTTCAATATATCTTGAAGCTGTGGCAATCTTACCACAGTTGGTATTACTGCAGAGGTCAAGAAACATTGACAACTTACTGGAAATTACGTTTTCCTTCTCGGGTATGTTCCAACTCCGCCGAGGCATCAATGCATTTGCTCATTATTCTTGGATTTCTGCTCATGTGATTATCTGTGGTGTTATTTTTGTTTGGTAACATTGTGCAGTGCTTATCGTTCTTTATATCTTGTCAACTGGATTTACCGTTTCTTCACTGACCTCCACAGAGTTCGCTGGATACGTAAGTTCTCTTTGTATATAGCTTGCACTTAATAATCATTGAGTGCATTTTCAGCCACAGTGATATAACTAATTTGTTGTAAAATGCCCAACGCACAGCTTGGATTTCAGGCCTAGTTCAGACTGCTCTTTATGCTGATTTTTTCTACTACTATATCAAGAGGTAACTTTGCTCGACTCTCTCGTCTCCCCATAAGAGTAGTTTGTATCATACTGTGCGTCGAAACGAGAAATATGAATACGGAGCAATGGCTTTGGTCTTGTAACATATTTCCATACGCTGTGGTGTAACAAATTATGACACTAATTCGATGTTGACACAAATTATGATACCGAATCATCAACTTTGGTAGATGATGCTGTATCCTAATAACAAGCTTGTCTGCTTTTTCTTCAGCTGGAAGGAGCACGAGGAGCTTAAGCTTCCCGCTTGACGTGGATCATTCTGGATGTGTGGTTTCCACCCCACCGGAAGGCAACAGAAGAGGAATGCATTATGCATACATACTTGAGGACATACAGAGCCAAAAGTTAACCATTGCTGTCACTGTTGGGGGATTTTCTCCACGTTAATGGATTAGATTCTGATAAGATCTTGTTAATTATTTACTAATTTAACGAACCACTCTCACCTGATTGTAAATAAATTGGATTTTTATTTGGTTGTCAATTTTGGAATGTGTGTTATATTTCTCAGTATATATGTATAATATAAACGATGTTGAAACATATACGTCACTTACGATATATCAGATCTCTATCAACATATTATATACCTCCATATTTCAAGGAAGAAACCAAGAGGGAACAAGTGTATTCTGGTCACTCTAAACCATTGACCTCCGAATTAAAAAACTAGCGATTCAAATTCAATGCCGCGTTAAAGGAAGGAACGCAGAAGGAGGGCAGGTTGATTTTGTTAAACTCATAGACATTGATGTTCCCTCAAAGTTGTTCTGTAAACCAAAATTTTAGGTAGGAGCTGATCAGAATTGGGAATGAGCTAATCCCAAGTCAAGTTATAAGTCTTAGAATTACAACCACGTTTCTGTTGAGAATAAGTTGAGGAAGGGAAGATAATTAAGATGGAAAGGATGCGCAAACTCTGTTGGTTTACTTTAGGCTTTCATTTTGTTTGTAGCATACTTGATCAATCTCGAAACTACCGATTACCGGTCAATATTATACCGTCAATGACCCAAAAGAGTTTCCCTCCAACCAGGAGATCAATCACAGCGCAACACGTGTCGACATCAAAAGCCAATCATAGCGCAACACATGTCAACATCAGAAGTCAATCACAACACGACACGTGTCAATGTCAGAACAAAGTTAGAAACTCTCTTCTATAAAAGGAGATCATTCTCCCACAATATTGCCTAATGTCATTTGTATTAAATCATTCACTAATACTCACTAAAGAAGAGCTTGAATCTATGTACTTGTGTAAACCCTTCACAATTAATGAGAACTCATTTATTTCGTGGATGTAGTCAATCTGGGTGAACCACGTACATCTTGTGTTTGCTTCCCTGTCTCTATCCATTTACATACTTATCCACGCTAGTGACCGGAGCAATCTAGCAAATGTCACAAACTTGACACTTTCTGTTGTACCAAAATCTTCATTGATTTTGTGCATCAACATTTGACGTCGTCTATGGTAACGACACTTATTCCCACTCTATTCAACTTTGTCAAGTTGGTTTCCATCATTCGTACATTCTCTTTTGACCAGGCATCCCTCTCCAACATAGGAAGCGAAGGAAGCCACAATACATAGAATGACATCCCTCTTGCACCTAGTGCGAAGCAACGAAAGAATGAAGGAAAAATGGTTGCTCTTCAAGCTAAAGTCAATAAGCTAGAAGCTCAGAACAACAAGATAGCAATGAAGAATGAGGTCCTTCAGGAGCAATATGAGAAGCTCTTCGAGACATTCCATGAAGCTAGGCATGCTCAAACACATGAGCTCGTTGCCCCCGTAGAAGTTAACCATCAACTGGGTGTCCCCCAACACGGAGTGTCACCTGCCTTCGACATAGATATCCCTGATAGGGAGCGAGTTACCCATCGATCTGATAATCAACATGAGACTTCTTTCAACACAGTTGCTTCAACCCGAAGCAGGAGAAGTGGAGTAAGACACCTCCTTGCAGAATGAGCGGAAGGATCGAAAGCTGTTTATCACGATTGTCAAGACTTCCTGAAGCAACGTCGAGAGAACTCCATTCACATAAGCTCAAAGATTAATGACCCAAGGGTTTCTGAGATACTCGGTCATCTACCACGGCCTAGGCAGGCTGCCAATCTAGGGAAGGAACAACAGGTCCCAGAGGAACATGAAGGTACATGGGACTTGGATGTATTCCGACAGACTCACCCTAGAAGTTAGTACAACGAGTCCAAGGAAAAACCACATGTTCTTGCTCAAACTTTCCTACTTCCAAGAGGCGATGGAGACTTACGGAAGAAAATTCCAGTGGTACATAACTACACTCAAGACCCCCTTGTCCTACAACTCCTTGAGAAAGTAAACAAGTTGAAGGCCGAACGTCAGGCCGAGATACCTGACTGGAACCAACCCAGGTCTGGCCCTCTCACAAGGAGGATCATCGACACCTCCCTTCAAGCGAAGAAAAAACAAAAGATTGGTTTATAACTCTATACTCTCTATACTGAAATGGAGGACCCGATTGAACACATTAACCTCTTTGAGTCCACCATGGCATATCAGATGCACACCGACGAAGAGCGATATCTTATCTTCCATTCCACCCTTTCTGGCGGAGCTCTAAACTGGTATTGTCGTCTTCCACCCGAGACACTAGACTCATTTAAGGAATTAAGGAAACTGTTTGTCTCTCAACACATATTCCAGAACGATCGCTTACATTCTGCAGATGACTTGTACATTGTTCACCAGAAACCAGACGAGTCATTACGAGAGTATACTGGTCGCTTCAACCATGAGTATTCTCGCTACGCTGAGGCAGATGACAATACCGCCCTCAAAGCCTTCACGGCAGGCTTACGTGATTGTTTCTTCAAGTACATGATCAATGCCAACACTTGGAAGACTTACTCTGAGGTGATGGCATATGCTTACAACCACGTCTTCGCCAAAGCAAGGACATACCAAGGGAACCCCCTTATGGTTAACCCCTATCAACAAGTGGGAAGTGGAAGTCAAGTTATACCAAGTGAGGAGATCTTGGCCATTCAGACACCCATTGCATCATCTCTTGCTTCATTTAGCTACTTGCTAAGTCACCAAACGTATTTGTCTCTTGGTAAGAGGAATGCTTTTTACTCTCAGTAAGCCCATTACAGCAAAAGGGATAAAAGTTCGTATCAAGACAACCAGGGGTGAATGTACCGTCGACTATTATGACCATAAGGCCAAGCCTCACTCTTTCAAAGTGGAGGACTAAGTACTGAATGAAATGCTATTATAAGAAGGCATACACATTACAAATGTTTTGACCTTTAACCGCTTGAGATCTTTTGTCACATAAGTCATTCGGCAAATATTTAAAGAAGAGGGAATTCAAACAACTTCTTCTGAGTCTTTTGCATTCCTAGCACTGGAACACTTGGTCTACGTTGATCTACTCAGAGCTTCAACATGTGTACTTTGACACAAAGTATGTGATACTAAGTGTTACAACCAACATGATTCACATATCGAAAGCATGGATCCCTTTATGCATAGCAAAACATTCATAAACATCACTCATGTCAATCAACATAAACATTATACATTCCAACATATTCATACATAAACATCATACATTCTAATACACTCATACATAAACTTCATACATTCTAACACATTCATACATAAGCCAAATGTGCTTCGAAAGGGTTCAACATACTTTGTGTCATTCGACACTTGCTACAATGTGCCTCGACACCTTACCCTTATTCTCACCAACTAGGTGAAGAATGAACTCACATTCGTGCCACCAACCAGGTGATGAAATGTGAAAAATGAACTCATCTTCATGCCACCAACCAGGTGATGAAATGTACAACCCATACTCTCTTTCATGCCACTAACCAGGTGATGAAATGTACAACCCGTACTCTAATATTATTTGGCAACTTGCCACTCTTATCACCAACCAGGTGAAGAAGAAACTCACATTCGTGCCACCAACCAGGTGATGAAATATGAAGAAGGAACTCATATTCATGCCACCAGCCAAGTGATGAAATGTACAACCCGTACTCTCCTTCATGCCACCAACTAGGTGATGAAATGTACAACCCGTACTCTAATATTATTTGGCAACTTGTCACTCATGCCACCAACCAGGTGAAGAAGGAACTCATCTTCGTGTCACCAACCAGGTGATGAAATGTGATGAAAGGTGATGAAGGAATTCACATTCGTACCACCAACCAAGTGATAAAAGCAACTCACAATTCGTTCCACCAACTAGAAGATGAATGGTACAACTTGTACATGTGAACTCCTAGCATTCGCAAATAATAAAAAACCCTCAAGCTTTACAACTCAACTAGGGGATCATTTATGCCTAATAAGAGTTATAGTCACCAACAAAGTCTTATTGCAAGCCAACAACAGCTTCAGTTCATGGTATACGAAGATCAAACTCTTCACCCAACGCATTTATCCACTCAGTGAATATTGATAAACCCCAATGAACAGTAATATATCACATGCATCTCCACCCCTACCAAAAAATAGAATAGTCAATTTTATTAAAATATTATTATTTTTTATTATAAAATTGCAAAGCACACCATCCCAAAAAGTAGAAGTTCCCCTTCCCGATTTTGGGAAATTTTCTTTGTAATTTTGTTGCATTTCTTTCCTCCATATACGTCACTTACGATATATGTATTTACTAATTTAACGAACCACTCTCACCTGATTGTAAATAAATTGGAGTTTTATTTGGTTGTCAATTTTGGAATGTGTATTATATTTCTCAGTATATATATATATATAATATAAAGATGTTGAAACATATATGTCACTTACGATATATCAGATCTCTATCAACATATTATATGCCTCCATTTTTCAAGGAAGAAACCAAGAGGGAACAAGTGTATTCTGGTCACTCTAAACCATTGACCCCCGAATTAAAAAACTAGCGATTCAAATTCAATGCCGCGTTAAAGGAAGGAACGCAGAAGGAGGGCAGGTTGATTTTGTTAAACACATAGAGATTGATGTTCCCTCAAAGTTGTTCTATAAACCAAAATTTTAGGTAGGAGCTGATCAGAATTGGGAATGAGCTAATCCCAAGTCAAGTTATAAGTCTTACAAATTACAACCACGTTGCTGTTGAGAATAACTTGAGGAAGGGAAGATAATTAAGATGGAAAGGATGCGCAAACTCTGTTGGTTTACTTTAGCTTTCCCTTCATTGTTTTTGTTGGCAGCATTATCAGAAGCCGACGCCAAGCCCAGCTTCCAGAAAGGAAAAGTATCATGTTCTGTGGTCGAATACTGGTCTGCGAGTTCCCAAGGATCATGTTCTTTTATCCTACCAAATCCAAGACGATTCTCAGTGGGAAAAGGTGAACTTGAGGTATGCGTAAACAACGAAGTTTCTGCTAATAGCTGCAACACCACTAAAACTGGAGCAGCACTATTAATGTTGCGCTTTGGTCCTGGCACCCACAACACTACCTCTGAGACCGAGTACTTGACTGCCACACCGCATGCAATCTCCGACACTGCAAACAAGTTCACAATCATGCGCATGGGTTGTTGCAATTCTTCCACTCCCAAAGGGGAAGGCAATGTTAAGTCTCTGGTGCCTGAGGCAGTGAGTACTGGAAACATAACTGTTGCGGCTACTTATTTTCTGGTTTGTTACGGGATTGGGTGCCACAGCATCCAAGTCCAGGCTGATCTGTCCTCCGTTGACAGTAACAAACATCACCAGCACGCGACAGAACGTGTACTTCCAATACACGCTCCCGTACATGGATGCATCTGATGAGAGTATCAATGTCACGTCGGAAAAAAAAAGGATTTTGCATATACTTATAAGTAGTTGGGTTACTTCTAATATTGTTAAGTGGTTTTATGACGGAACTTCAACTTTTTTTATAATAGCAGAGCAGGTTGTCCCGCGTTTGAAGTCCAGTGGGCACACGTGCTCTATGTCATCGAATTTATGTTGTTCACTTGGTAAGCCTAAAAATACGTCACACATAAGAAGGCGTGTTGAGAGTATGTTGTCTGACTTGTGTTGTCCATGTGTTAGCCTTCAAAAGAGTATCGGTAGGAGTAACAGTCGCTCATGGTTTGAAATCTCAACTACAACCAATACTCTGTACAAAGTCGAAGATTTAAGTGGCTTTTCATTGTCAACCAAAACCCAGGAATATATTTGCCATAGGAAAACTGGTACAGGTTACATCCCAGTTCCACACATCAGTGTCTTTCCGATAAAGCTCACCTTAGGTACGTAATCCTCTCTACTCTCTAGTGTTTATTACTTGATAATTGCTATGCTCCCTGTAAATTAAATGTAAACATTTATGGATTGTTTGATATTTTACTTGAATAAAAAATTTTGTACTTAAATTTTTTTTTTTGAGTTTTGCATTTTGAACGATTATTTGGTATGACTGTTTTGAAAAATTGAATTCAAAATTAACTTAAAAATTAGCATACTTCCATAAACATTAAAAAATGATACACTTACTATATATATATCATCTCTCTAATAGAAATGAGACCCACATGTGTTGTGGGCTCTTCTTCTATTAGAGAGACAGTACAAATATGTGATAAGTGTAGCATTATGACTTATTTGGAAATTATTTCAAAATGACTAAAAACATTTTTAAACGAAACTTTGTTGGGTTTCATAAGCACTTGAAGTGTAATTCTTCTAGGAAGCACTTCAAGTGTTTTTCCATAATTTACTTGTATTTTTACCAAAGATTAGTTTCAAAAATATTTTCACCAAAAGTGTTTTTAGCCATTTTAAAAGCATTTACAACCTCTTGTTCTTTTTAAACTCCAAACCTATTATTTTCTCTCTCCTACCTTCCTCCTTCCCTCCGAATATTTCTCCTCTTTGTCTCCCATTTCTCTTCTGATCTTTATGTCTGTTCAATTGAACTTAGTAGTAATTCCTGAGCCATGTGGAGTTGCCCTAGGATATTTTTCCTTTTCTTTTAATTATTAATTAAAAAAATCCCATATTAAACAAGTTTTTAAATCTTAAAAAATTGTCTTTAAATGATGTTCTTAAGAAATCTTTTGAAAAATTATGAATTTTTTTTAACACAATACCAAACAAGTCCTTAGGGTCTCAGCTAACAAGATACTGCATATATCGTGTATATAAATATATAATTAAATGTAACCTTGCAGGTCTTGGACTTCTTTGCGCATTTCTTATGTTTGGGATCTCTGGGGTTTATCTCAGTGTGAAGAAACATAAGTTCATTAATCTCAAAGCCAAGTTCTTCCAGAAAAATGGAGGTCTATTATTAGAGCAGCACATTTCTTCACATGGAAGCCCAAAAATTTTTACGTCCGAAGAGCTAAAGGTGGCCGCTGACTATTACAACCAGATTCACACTTTTAGTCCAGTAGAGAGTGGAAAGGTTCACAAAGGACTTCTGTCAAACGGTGCGATTGTGGCCATAACGGAAACAGTAGTGGAGGAGGGCCAAATCGGGCGTTTTATAAATGAGGTTGTCACTCATACCAAAATCAACCATGAAAATGTGGTGAAGCTCTTGGGCTACTGTTTAGAGACTGAAGCACCCATGTTGGTCTATGTACTCGCCCGCAACGGGACCTTGTTCGACTACATTCATCATGTTAATGGGAAAAAAGCATTGTCTTGGCATATTCTTTTAAAGATAGCCTCAGAATCTGCAGCTGCTCTTGCTTATCTGCATTCTGCAGCAGAGACATCAAAACCAATGATCATTCATGGAAATGTCAACTCTTCCAACATATTATTAAGCGATTGTTTTGTGGCCAAGGTCTTCGGTTTCGGATCTTCAAGGTTGGTCCGGGTCCCTAGTAATGAATCCCAGATGAACACATTGGTACAGCAGACGGTTGGTTATCTAGACCCCGAATATCTCCAAACAGGCCAGTTGACAGATAGAGTGATGTCTATAGCTTTGGAGTCGTCTTGTTATAACTTTTGACGGGAGAGATGCCATTGTCCTTCAACAGACCAGAAAATCGAAGAATCATAACATCCCATTTCGTTTCTTCTGTAGAACAAAACGACATATTTCAGATCGTTGTGCCACAACTAGTAAACGAGGGTAACAGAGAGCAACTCAGAGCTGTTGCGGAGCTTGCAAAGAGTTGCCTCAAGTTGAGTAGTGCCGAAAGGCCTGCGATGGAAGAAGTGGCAAGGGAATTGAGGAGGTTGTGTGGCAGGGCAGCACACATTCTTCCTAAGCTTTTTTTTTTTTTTTTTTTTTTTTTTTTTTTTTTTTTTTTTTAATTGGAGAACCTCGGCGGTACGAGGGAACTATTGAAAGTATATGTTTTGGCCAACGATCTAATGGTTAAAACTTCAGAGTATAGAATGAGCTTACTACTAGAATTGTTTTAGATAATCCATTGCGTATGGGCTGTGGCTGTCAGCTTTGTTTTTTTTTTTCATGAACCATGTATATTTGAAAGTTGAACCAATCTTTGAAAATAAGGCAAAGTAAATTTTAATTGGGACACTTTAGATGCGGTCCCTAGCTATCAATATTCTTTGATTGAAACCTTGTTAGTTTTTAGTTTTTGATTGAGGTCCCTGACATTAATGTAATAATGTAAGTTACTATATTTTTTTAATTAAAAATTAAAAATTGAAATTTGTAATTGTTTATATTAATGAGATTTTAAATAAAACCTATAATTTATGGGATTAAAAATAATAAAATATAAATTATACTCTCTATTATATTGTGTGTGTGTGTGTGCATATATGTATGGGTACATTAACCAAAATTAACAAAAAAAGTTATTGTACCAAAACATGGATACATTCTCAAATCAATGAAAAAGAATGTACCAATATAAGTTTAAACATGAATTAAAAAATTTGAATGGATTTTTTATTAAAAAAAGGGTACATTTTACATATAACAAATTGATATATTTGAGAATGGGTACATTTAAGATTAAAAAAATTGAAAAATTATATGAATGGGTACATTTAAGATTAAAAAATTGAGAATCTTTTTATATAAAAAAAAAACTAATAGGTACAAACTTAATTTAATTTAATTTTTTATTATTTTGGAAATGTTTGAATTGAAAATTCATTAGAAGTTTAATAGAGGTGTGAGTATTAAACCCTAAATTAATTACTAATTTTTATATTAAAAAATTATTATCATATTAATGCTAAGGACTTGAATCAAAATTTGAGAACTAATAAGGTCTTAGTCAATGAACCCTAAAAACTAGGGACCGGATACTAATTTTTCCATTTTAATTTTAGTGCTAATATAATGCGCATTATCGTCATTTCTTTGATGGAAAATTTTCATCTTGTTCTTGAGTCGTCGACGGCCACCAAGTTGGTGACAAGACAAAACCAGGTAAATTTTTATGACATTTATATCCTGGCCACGGCCACTGCCAGTCAGAGTTCCTAGTACAAAATGGTATTGAAAGGACTGACTACATGTAGTCCAATTTTATTGCCATTAACAAGTTCAACAATAGAGTACTACAAACCAACGGAAGATAAACTATGAACACTATTTTATTAAACAGAAAACAAATAATTAAGGTTGCCGAGATGGCTACAAACTGAAGCTGCCTATATAAACATTACCATATATATATAGTGAAAACTAAAGCAAACTCAAGCCTTAACGGGTAAGAAACTATAATATCCTTAGCCCACAAGAAATCATAAATAATAATAATTTTTAATAATTAAATTTCCAACAGAATCCAACTCGAAAGCTTTATAACAATTGTTAACATGGAGGCATTCCTTGTGGCGGAGGTAACATTTGCGCTCCTGGGCCCTTTCCATTTTTCACTATGAACGTCATGTCCATGCCCCATGACATATGTCGATCCAGATGACAGTGCATAAACCAAACGCCTACGCACAACAAGAAGAAGAACAACAATTTACACGATCTAATTATCATTCATTAATATATAGGGCTGTTAACTAAAACTGGAAACTGGAAATTGATATGGTTATTATCAAACGGCCCCTTAAGATAATATATGCACTAGAGATGATGAATGTCTTCATTAATTACGTACCAGGATTGTCTGCCTTGAATCTAATGGTAGTCCAACCATTTATAGGGACAGCGATGGTGTTTTGAAGAGGAGGATCAACAAGATTATACGTCAAAGGGTCCTTGTCCTTGTCAAAATTCCCAAGCCCCCGTCCCACAACGTAGAAACTGAATCCGTGGAGATGCATCGGATGGTCATCTCCTCCCACCAAATTTGTCCCCTGAAACACAATTTCCACAGTTGAGTTGTACTCCAGTATCTTCACCTCCGTCGCTTGCTTCGGCGTCTGTAGGTACAACGGCAAGTCCTGAGCTGTAAAATTAAACAGCAAGGGCGGGAAATTTGGAAAGCGAGTTCCAAATGCCCCATTAACATGGAAATAGTAAGCTTGCAATATGTCAATGGTAGGGTCGACAAAGCTAATGTTGTTGATACTGGTGGCAAAACGTGTCCCATTAGGCCCAGTACATGAATTGCTCGGGCAGGGTAGTGTGTTGATGGATAGTGTAAAAAACAAAGGAGTTGTTATCTTGTGTGGCACGTCAACAGGGTGGTTTTTATCAGCCAAGCTTTTGAGTTTACTGGTAAAGTGAACTGATGCGTTGGTCGTTATGGGAAGGAAGATTAGGCAACGAAGTAGGGGTTGAACTAGAATTTCTGTTGTATCGGAGTAATGCGGTGGTGGTTGTGTTGTCGTAGGGAATTCTAGCCCCGGCAACATAGGCTTTAGCAGCAATGTAGTAGTTGTTGGGGCTTTGGTCGGCATTTAACAAGAGATCAATAGTTTGCCCTGGAGATATGGTTACATAATCTGTTGAAAATGGCTTGGTATAGCTAGCATCTGAGCCTACAACCGTGACGTTGTGATTGGCAATGGCGAAAAACATCATCTCCTGCACGGCAGAGTTGATTAGTCTGAGCAGGTAGGTTTTGCCGTAATCAACTATGAGCTTGAATGTGTCTGGTTTTGAGCAAGGATAGAGATCGCCGGGTTGACCATTGATGAGGTAAGCATCTGAATTATTAGGGTCCCCACCACTTTGAATCGTTTCATCGTAAATTTGTCCAATATCTTCCTTCCACCATTCTCCTACAATTTTCAAATATAACGATTTGCAGAACAATAAGGATCGTAATTTGGAAATGTTTATATAGAAATCACTTATATTCATATATAAGCTCTTTTACGAGAAATCCTTTCATTAGAATAGAACACATCGAAATTTTTAATTAATAAAAATACAAGTAAAAAAATTCCAAAAAAATAAACCTTTTTAACTTTAGCAACCAACATTGTCACAAGAGTTTTTAATTATTTAAAAGCGCTAGCTATCCTATAAGCGGTTTTGGAAGATTGAATTGATTTGCATACCCAAGATGATTGGTAATTCTGCGTGAGGCTTGGTAAAAGGGTAAGTGGCTCCCTTCTTGGGGTATATGACTATAGCACCGTGGACGGTGGCTCGATCCCACTCACTGTGAGCATGCCACCATAGGGTCCCTTCCTCTGAGGAAAATATAATGGTTTGGGTAAACCTAGCTCCTGGTTGAATAGGACATTGCGTGATGTAATTAGGACCGTCTGACCATGGGTTCCTCGGTTGCTTAACTCCATGCCTGAAATATAGATGGATTAGAATTGTACTGGTGTCATGAAAGTAACTAAAAGCTGCATGAGATTACATGCACTGTATAAAGTTGATGAATTACCAATGGAGGGTAATGTTACGATTGCCCTTGTTATAGACATCCACTATGACAGTATCTCCAGCACGAGCATACAATGTTGGTCCCGGAAACTGGCCGTTTACAGTCAAGATGTTCTTTGTGCTACACAGTCGTTTGTATGAAGTTTCTTCAACCTACAATTAATTTTTGCAAACAAACAAAAGATATCATCAATTCATTAATATTTTTTAAATCAGCATACATGATGCATGCATGCATATATATGTGTAATTATAGCCATGCATGCATGCATGCAATTCATACACATGCATCAGAATTTAAAACTGAACGACAAACACAAGATATGAGTTCATTAATATTTTTGAAATCAGCATACATGCATGAGCATCGTTTATAAAGTGTATATACATATATATCCCACACACACAGATATATATATATATATACACACACATAGTGGCGAAACCATGATTTGTCGAAGGGAGGGGCGAAATTCAAAAGAGTGCAATGTTTAATTGAAGCAGTTGCTTTCACATTGGAGAGTGCAAAGTTTTGAGTCAATATTTATAGTAGAAAATAGTCTCTTCACCAAAGCGTTTGTAAGCAAAAATATTAAAGCCAATGTAAAAAGCTTAAATTGGCTAGGATTAGATCCTAAAAAATGTTAAGCGCTAATCAAACAGTGTACTAGAACTTAGCAGCTAGGTGCCTAGGCGAGATCTAGGTAGGAGCCCATATGGATTTAAATTAGGGAGTCTTAACGAAATACTTATGATACTGTTCACTTTTAACGTTAGAGACATTTTTACTTTTAAAAGTCACTCTTAATACTATTCATTTACAACACATTTTTGTTCTTTTGGTTAAAACTCAAATTTTTTCAAATCATTTCCATTAGTTTTCATATTATTTAAAACATGAAACAAGTCCTCAAAGTGAAAATTCATTGAAAGTAGTGATGGCTAGAAGAAAAAAAAACATAAATTTGAGTATGAAATAACCTCCTCCATATTGTATTAACAACATTAAGGTAATTTTAGTATTGAAAATCTTATTTTATGTGGTATTTTGTGGGTATGGTTTATCTAAAATATTTTATTGAAGCACTTATGTTTTTAAAGTGTAATTAGGGACCAATTAGAAGATCAAACCAAAAGAAGGAGAGACCAAGCCAAACCATTTAACCAAAAGCAAAGGAACCAAGTCAAACGGAAAAAAGATAGAAGGAAAAAAAAAAGGGGAAAGGAAAAATGGAGAAAAGCAACAAAAGAATGATAGAAGAAAAAATAACAAATCGCAATGTTTCATTTAAAAGGAATGCTTAAACGACGTCGTCCGATTAAAGATATTTTTAAAACAACTTTTCTTTTCTTTTCTTCTTCCTCGTGCAGGAGTTGCCCTCCTCTGCAATAGGCAGCCCGCCGACACCATGGCTCTTTATGTGGCTTTTTGACGACCGAAGGGGTGGATTCCTTGCTCTGCATGTGAATTTCCGACGATCGGAGGGGCAGCCGCCCCTCCTTGCCCTGTTGTGGCTTCGCCACTGTATATATATATATATATATGTATGTATGTATGTATAACTATAGGCATGCATGCATGATGCATGCAATTCATACATATGCATCAGAATTTAGAACTGAACTGCACCAAGATTAAGGAAATAATGAGCTAGGTAATTACCACAAAAGTGTAACGAGGAGACAAAGCTTGGCAATGGAAGATGCCAACCGTAGACAATAGCAAGCCGACTACAAGTTGCAAGCTAATTAAAATACTCATGTTGATCGACGACGATATTGATGGCTGCTTACCGATCGATCGTCTTATAGCTGTATCTGTTATTACTACTAGTGATGATCACGGATTCACAGGAGTTGTGTAACTATTATTTGGTCTCTATATTTCTGTTTATAACTGATGCAGTTCGCAGGAGTTGAGGACGGATATATATAGAGAGAGAGCTAAATAAAAGCGCAGGTGGCGATTATATGTAATAAAAATAAAAATAAATTATTTAATTAACTGGTGAGGGTTAATCAAGCTATGCTAAGTAATAATTAGTGTGCTTCATGAAACATGTGCGCTTAATATCTTCACTATACAATGTTCTCTCATGTTTTTTCATTCCATGCAATCACAAAATTTTTACTGTTTATTAATATTATGTTGATCAATTAAACTTGGATTATAATCTTTAATTACGCAGCGCTATATTTCTAGATAAGTTTGAAGCTTATGTCAGCATGCCATATATTTCGGATTTGAATAGAATCCTCAGGGAAGAGATCTGGCGAGGATCCAAATCCATATATTTCAACTTGTTGAGATTGAGAAGTCAGATCAAGGTTGAATTGGACAAGCCCAAAGACGAAGCCATTATTCAATTATTAATTAATAAGGAATTTTAACGAAAAATTAGTGTTGTATCCTAATCCATCAATTATTAATCCAGAGGGCGAAGAGCCATTATTCAATTATTAATTAATAGGGAACTTCAATTATTCAATTATTAATTAACAGGGAACCGTAATTAGAGGAGGACTTGTAAAAGTTAGTGTTGTGTCCTAATCCATCATAAGAAGAGAAATACCGCTTTTTAAACTGCATGACCATTATTCAATTATTAATTAATATGAAACTTTAACGAAAAATCATATTTTTACACTAAAAGGTCAATCATGGTACAATTCATTTTACCTTTTATTTTGTCCTTATCATTAAAACTCAAAGTTTTCAAGTCATTATCATTAGTTTTCCTTAATTAATATCTATATGATGTCATAAATGGATTTGGATCCCATCCGATCCAAATGGTGGGAATCCTAGGAATTTTCACATCTTAGTCATTCATTGTACATTGTGCGGTCATAAATTATTTGAATTTTTTAATTTAAAATTAAACTCAAATAGTACGTGACGAAACTGACCGCACGATGTACGATGAACAACTATAATGTGAGGATTCCTAAGATCTCCACAAAGAGGATTCAGAGAGGATCCTCATCCATCAGAAATGATCATATATATGGAGATTTTTTTAGTGTGCTTACAATACGGCCATGTACACCAAGTGTCATAGACTCACAATACAAATGGTTGGAAGTTTTTTTTTCTTTTCCAAGGGTCGTGTTCCTAGTAATACACTGAATTTTTTTGTCCATATATAGTGTTTCATACCTAACAAATTTGTTAGGAAAACATCATCAATTTAGTTAACACTCAATGAAGAAGAAGAAGCGAATATGATTGTTCAAATTAAACATGATAACGAGATTTGAGCAATTAACGCAAATTGCAGCATGCCAAGCCAAACAGTTATTGGCGTCTAAGGCATTGACTGTACTAGGTTCATTCGTCCTTTTCTTTCGAGTTAATTGTACGATGAACCTTGGGATCAATCGAAAACAAGAATAAAAACAAGGGAAGGTCAATTGTTGCGGGCATGGGTTTGGGTTAGGTCACGAATCAGCAAAACACAATACCAACCTTCTACGTCAATGATTACTAGAGATCAAAGATTAATATGGTCAAGGAACACTCACGACATTATGATGCGGAGGAGAAATACTCTTTTGCAACTATTTTTCAGTTTTAGTAACATCACTTGTCTAGCTAATAAATGTTTGTCGCTTTTTCAAGATGTGTACATGTCGAAATTTCCAATAAAAATATTCCCGCATGGTCAGATGGTTGAAAGAGAGACTCTGCGCGTGGAGGTGGCGATGACTGGCTTTTGCATCTTATACGATTTTGATTAGTTTCATTTCGTGGAAGATCTAGAGGGCATTACGTATGGAGCAAGCTACTTTTTTACTATTTACGGTATTGGTAAATGTTATAAGTACAAAAAAAGGTCGTACCCAGTGCAAAAGGCTCCCGCTTTACGCAGGGTCTGGGAAAGGTGAATGTCGGCTAGCTTTACCCCCATTTATAAGTACAAAACGATAAGAAAATTATTTATCAACAAGAGGAAAAGAGTGTAACTTGTACAATAATATGCTCAAACTCCAGTTATTCACTCATCCCTAACCTATTTTTCTCATCCCTTGTTATCCACATATATTGCGTCTTACAATATACCTAAAGTTATGCCATGTCTACGAATCGACCCGATCTTCATGACGTCCACAGTCCGAAACAGATGAAGAAGCCGCGATACTCTTTCCTTTGCCATCCAAAGATGCCATTGTTGGGCCCATGTCCACACTTTCCTTTGGTTTTGGTTTCTGTAAAACTTGAAGCTGATTCTGCAGGATCTGTACAAGAAAAGCGGTTACTAAGCGGGAGAAATTGGGAGTAACGACCGCCACGTCACAACAAAAGTTATACATCTTCTCTTTAATACCTCAATCCGGTGCTGAAGAAGCTTTTTCTGGGCCTCCAGCGGAGAAGCTGTCAGATTTGGATCGCTGCCCAACCTCTCCCCATAGGCCAAGTTGGCTCCGGGGACAAACATGTAAGGTGGAAACTGAGAGAAGGACAAGTTTGCAGCTCCACCTTGGGCTGCAAGTTGTGGCTGTGATTGTCCAATAGAAGATTCTCCACCAGATTCAGTATTAGAGGAGTCAGCCGTATGTCTTTGAACCTGAGGAATCGCCGTATATCCAGGAGACCTGCATACAAGAGCACATAGTTTGTAAGGCTCTGGCATGCAGCATTCTATGCAGTGCAACATATCCAAAGTTTATGTATCAAGCACACTCTCACAAGCAACCTAGAAATAAATTAAAATACAATGGACACATATGATCACTCCACCAATAAATATGTAAACCTTAACTTAGGATACAGGTGTCATTACCATACTAGTCTGTTTGCAGAAGGATATACATAAGACTTCTCATATATTGATGCAGCAGCAGCAGCAGCTCGGAGCCTGGCTTCATGTTGGCTCACATTATCACCCGCAACTCCACCACCCTGAGCCGTTGTGCCTGTCCCTGTTCCCAATTAAAATCATCAGTCAACTCGCCACAATTTTATACCGAACAAAAGATCAGAGTCTCAAATGATCAAAATATATTACATAAACAAAGAGCATGAAATCCAACTGGCATTTTATTGGTGCCTTCGTTTTTCTTTACCCTCAATAATTATCTTACATAAAGGAAAAGGAAATGTAAGTTTAAAAACTACAAAGTTCAGCAATTAAAAACTACAAAGTTCTTTTCCTTTAATAACCAAATATCCGACCTTATGGTTGTCACACAGAAACTAAAAGATACACCACAAATTGCACTGCTCAGAAGTTTACCCTGTTGATGAACATCTGACTGTGAACCCCTATGTCCAGCTGTACCTGTCCCACTGTCAGGAGGTACAACTAGGGCTCTGCAAGTAGGGCAGGTATGCTGTCGCTCTAACCATGATCGTAGGCAAGCGACATGAAAAAGGTGTCCACATAATAGTTTCTTGGCTGTTGTCATCTCTTCACGGCAAATGATACAAGTTGCATCACTTCTGCATATTGATAATCAACAACTAAGACTCCAAATGCAGAATTTGATAATTACAACACTTGGAAACTAATTAGACTTTAAACTTACGCATTAAGTTCTTCAGGCGTAGCATCTGGGAATCGATCATTCATGTTTGATGTGAGCTTTCGATAACGAATATAATCAGCAATGCGAATCTTAAAGTTCCTAAATGTTTCATAGAGCTCACGTATCAAGTGCAATGGCACACCATAGTACCTGGGATGGGACAATACTCCATGTCAATCAAGATAGAATAACCTCAGCTTATGCACGTCAACAAGCAAAATTCTCCCCATGCTTAAAATTTAAATTGGTAGGATTTTGGTCCAACTACTGTATCATATTCTAACTTCATGCCCACAGCTTCTCCGCCACTACGGAGCCAAACACGTTGCATTCAACACAGATTGAGCCCAACATGTTCTCCAAATTGTGTCATATTTAGCAAAAAAAATGTGTGTGTAAGCAACTTATCTAAACCTAAAGATAAACAGAATACTCACGTGAAAATCACGAGGAAGAAGCACAAATACAGAGACAAGTGAAGCAAGTCCCGAATAAGTTCCAAGTAGAACGTGTAGACAGGCTTCTTCTCCCATTGTCCCTCCATAAGCATGTCAGTAACATAGAAAACATATTTCACAAATGTTGACACTGTTGTTGTTGCTAGTATCATGTACCTGAGATACAAAATCATGGACACTGTTAAATGAGAAAGACGGAAGAATGCAGAAATTCATGACTTGTCCATATTATTGGTTTTCATATCTAATGTTTTCTGTATAATCCCATCACAACTATTAGTTCTCCCCTATTGCCTTTCGTACTCGACATAAATCATTCAATGCACCTTCATATCATTCGCCCTATCAACCACTTTCCATGACAACATAATAGACTTGCTCCACTCGTTTCCAATATAATGAAGCTTAATGCAATATTAACTATCAGATTAAAAAATGCCTAAGTTATCTGAGTGTGATCAAATAAAATGTAGCATGTTCCCAAATGCAAACAAAAAGAATCAGAAATACAAAGCATTAAGATGGATCACTTACTCGAACGAAAAAAAGAGGGAAACCGAGGCCTTTTGTGTCCTTATCAAGTTGCTAATAGAACTGTACAAAAAGAGACTATCTAGAACAAGCAAGAAACCCAAAAAGGACAATCCGAACATGAGACAGCATGGGCACGGACGGAGTAGTCTCGATGTACTCAACCCTCTTCTGAGCCAACCAATGCAAAGCCTTGATTAACAACAGAGCTGTAACCATAGCAAGAAATGAGACCGAAAAGTCCTGCCTGAAAATAGTGATGGCAAAGAGGATTTCCATGACTTCCCGCCACGACTGCTCATTAAGCCTCTCAACCTCGGCTTCCCGGAGTGATCCAAGGAAGAGCTTTTTAGTCAATTGCCACATAGTACACATAATAACCAGACCCATGTTG